CGTCAACCCGTCCGGCCCCCATCACGTGACTTTTTCCAATGGTTTTATTAGAGCGCGCGAGCAGGGCCGTACGGGTCATATGATAATTGTCAGTAATAACTTTTTATTTCATGGTTTTACTGCATGTGCTCTATGCACTCTATTAAATACAAATTAATTGAATAGCTAATTACTGGCGCCAAATTTTATTGGGATGAACATAGTGTTCAAACAATATAGAGTGAAGTCATTAAACCCGTGAAATTAGACTAACACACATTAGTAGACCCCAATTCCATTGTTTTCTTTTGTGTCTTTTTGACTATTACACGTTGACTAGTATTTTTTATTTCACGGGTTAAATGCCTTCGCTCTAACCGTGAAACTTTAGTAATACTAAATAGCACAATTTCACGCAAATTCCATTGTTTTCTATTGTTTAACTAGCGCTATTTTGTACTATTTAGTAATTAGTGTTTCACGGATTAATTGTTTGCACTCTACTATTGTACTGGTTGGCTATTTGTTATTTATTGCATGTGAAAATTAAGAGTGAAAAGCAAAACACCAATAATTGAATTATCTATGCATGATAGGCTTTCATTGCGTGTTTGCTATATTTTCTGTCCCTCACTAGTTTCAACGTACGCTTTCTAGCAAATATTACAAATCTAAACAATCCTCAGTTTTTCAATTCGAAAATATAAGACGTAACAACGACTAAAATTGAAACGTAGTCTTCGCGAGATCCGTAAGAAAAACTATTTTTATAGCTCACTTAACGCTTGAGATAATACTAATTTTAGAAAACTAATAGACCCTTTAGTCGATTTAGTCAAATACCGCTTGATTACAGAGTCATTTACTCAGGCTTACCCTCATTTCAGTATCCAAATATTCACAAATACCAACAGTAAAGACGATATTGCACAATTTGAACAATACAATCGGTCTAAAAAGCAGCAAATCTAACACTATTTTAAGGAATAATGAAAGGACACTTCAGCGTCAATTCATTCCTGAAAGTGTATTTCAACACTTGAATATCGTCAAAATGCAAGATGATAAGATGGCGTAAATTCAAGACTAATTCATTATACAAAAATGTTGTTGTGGAAAGTACTGCTGTTTTTCATTTACAAATCATCCTTATAACTGAAATATATGGTTTCGTACGCTTTTAGGTTATGTCACCTCAGAACACTTGTCGTAAATCATACTTCAAAATGTAACGCGTTCTTGAATTTACGTCATCTCATTTGCACATTGATATTTCAAATGTTTATATTTCTGAAAAGAGAAGAAGAGAAGACCACATACAAAAATACTGCAACCATACTATTACACTGTTCACATATAAGTGATATTGGGAATATTTTTCCCTGATATAAATTTTAAAAAACAAAACAATGCAATATTAACACTTTGAAATTTCAAGGACCTACATCACTGAATACATAAATCTTCAAAATAATTCCGTAAAAAATTGGGTCTAACCAAAAACAACAGAGAATTCAAAACTGGAGTAGAGTGCAAAACATATATCCGTGAAATTGCACAAAAACTAAATAGCACTAAAAACATCTATTTCTTCTGTTTTCATAATAATAATAACCCTTTATTCAATTGATTAATTACCATTCAAAAATACACAATAAAAATAGATAAATGAATTCTAAATACTAAAACTACTATGAAACTATCAATAGAGCGACCACAGTAAATCTGTGAAACTTTAGTAATACTAAATAGCACAACTTCATGCAAATTCCATGGGTTTTTATTGTTTAACTAGCACTATTTTGTACTATTTAGTAAATAGTGTTTCACGGATTTACTGTGGTCACTCTACACTAAAAAACTCTAAAAGTTAATCTATTAGAAAAAACTATTTTAAAATCTATTATTATTAATTGCTGGCATAACGCAGCCGCTATTTTTAAGATTATATGAAGTTGTTTCATTGGTGCTATTTTGTAGAGTGCAAGCAATATAACCGTGAAACTTTAGTAATACTAAATAGCACAATTTCATGCAAATTCCATTGTTTTCTATTGTTTATTTAGCACTATTTTGTACTGTCTATTTAGTGATTAGTGTTTCACGGATTAATTGTTTGCACTCTATCAGTTAGTCCTATTTCACGAATGTATGGTTTGCAATGTATTATATAGTTTACTTAGCAACAAACTTATGGGGGGGGAAATCGATTAGAAATTGCAGTCTGATCTTGACTTCAGGGCATTCAGAACCCTTAGTACTGGCCCCAATTTGTAGCAATTTTGAGACGTCAAAATTTTTTCTTTTTCTTTTTGCAATTAACTTGTAATTACGTGTATAAACCCCACGCAGCTCGTTGGAATGTTACTCAATTAGGAGGAGTACATCACTAAAGCTGTTATCAATAGACGTCACTTCCGGTAATAGCTGCGTTTTAATGCCTTGTAGAATCTTGGAGGTTGTTTCGTACTCTTGGTTTCTGGTTTCATGTCGTAGCAATAGTCAAATACAATAGTTTGAGGACTTATTTTGACATGTTTTGACTAAATACCCGCTAGTTGCCCCTCAGTCAACACCGCTTGTTTGCCTTCCAGTCACAGCTCCAAAAAAGTCACGTGATTGAAAGTAAGCAATTCTCAGAAGATTGAATTTTTTAGTTTTGCTGTCCAAATTGAGATGCTTTGATGAAGTCACATGCAAGGAGTCTATTTACCTGTGTTTATTTATTTTACTAGGCTTTGTGTGCTAACTTTGCGTGCGTGAAATAAAAAACACACTCATGCATTCAAATAAAATATCCTAAGTCATCTGTGTC